CCCCACTTATGACCTTGCTCTTCTCAGAGGGATCCTATCGGCTGTTTAAATATCCCTCTGGTGCTGCCACCCATGGGCATCCAGCCTGTCTTCTCGAGTCTCTACCACACTCTCTACCAGTTAGGTTGTGCTAAAGCTGATTCTTCTGTCTGTCTGAGGGTAAAAGGCTCCTCTCTCACTATTGTTCAGTTGTTTGTTCCAGGTGATTTCTCCACAATTTAGTTGTAATTTGAGATTGGTCCTGGGAGGTGGTCAGTGTGACTTCCATTCACTCTTCCATCATCTTGCCTTCTCTTGAAGTATTTTACTAATTGAATTTTTTCAGATCTTGGGAGGAAAGTTCATTAGTTTTGAGTATATTAATGAATTAACTATTTAATTTCACTGATATAAACTAACCAAATTGGAATTAGGTATGGTTCTTGTCCATTGGTTCTTTCCTGGCCAAATTGCTTGTGTCATCCACAAACAGAATAATTATTTCTTTAGTAACAAGTAGGTTGTGTTCTTATTTGAGAAATTGGTAATTAGTACTTCACATTGATAGCAAATTTTATCTTTCCTACCAAATACTTTAATGTTTGCATACTTTTTACTCTTTTCAATAGGAATATTTGCAATAAAGTATTGATAATGTCAGCCGACATACCATATAAACTATTATATATGAAAGCTTTTGTCTTATAGCCATTGCCAAGTCTTTTTCTTAAGGTGCTAGAACTAGAAAACAATACTAAGTAATATTATTTTAGGTTGGCTGTTGGTAAAGAAGTCCTCCTTACGAGAAAATGTTCTGGAACCTCATGTTAAATGATTAAAGAGGGATATGAATGCACCTCACCTTTAAAATATATATATATATAATATATATAAATAAAATATATAAATATATATATTTTGGCTTGAAACTTAGCAAGCCAAAATTAAATGAAAACTAGTAGTCACTAGCTTTTTTTTTTTTTACCAAGTATTTAGCATCCCACATTTTATCAAGTTTGAAGTCTTTAAATAGTATTACTATCGTTAATGAACAATTTTCAACATCACATGCAAAAATAGGTTCCCAAAAGTCACTGTGGTTATCTGAAATTTAAGTTAATTAAAAATAAATAAAATTTAAGATGTAATTCCTCAGTTGCAATAGGCACATTGCAAGTGCTTAGTAATCACATGTAACCATATCAGACAGTGCAGATATAGACTATTTCCATCATTGCAGAAAGCTCTATCAAATTGATTTGTCTGAGAATATTGGACTGTCAAATATCAAAACTATGTGAAAAGCTTTACTCCCCTAATGATGAATCCACATAAAGATAGAAAAGATAACAGAGCCAGGGTGCAAATGATAACTTGTCAATCACCTAATATGATATGTTGAGTCATAATTTCAAGCAATGTGGATCTTATCGCTTGACTACATTGAACAACAAAAGGCATAGTACAGTTCCCTCCTCAACCAGACAGTCTGAAACCCCCCAAGGTCCAAGTTACAGGGATATAAAAGCAAAATCTCAACCATTGTCAATCACTATTAAGTGACCAGACTACATTTTAATTAGGGTAAATACTACTGACTCAACTGCAGGCATCCATATGGAATGATGAAATAGGATACTTTTGTGAAGGCTGGTGATTTTATACAAAACAGGACTAGCAAAGGTAAAACAAAATGTAACCAAGGCTAGAGATAGTACATTTGTAGAGAATCAGAGACGGTTAAACACAGTTTGCCTTTATTGAAGAAAAAAAAACCAGTTGGGAAAAAAATTTATATGCACGTGGATCACAGGTGTTGATCTTACCCCACCCTCCCCACTCAAACTATCTAAATAGCCTTTAGAAGGAGAGAACTTTAAACCATGTATTGGAAACATAAAGGGTTTTCTTCCAGATACAATGCTGAAGACGTACAATGCTGAAGATATGCATTGCTGGATAATCTACATCTTGAGAGAGGGCAACTTGATCAGTAAATAAGGAAGCTCTAGCAAAACCCAATTTCTATCCCATATCTTAAAGGGGAGGAGCCATTTGGAGACATACCATTTCTTTTCCTGGCAAAGATTGATCTCAGGATGTCCCTTTATGGAACTTAACTCTTGGTTTTTCCCTTTCTCTCCTTTACTTTTTCTTTTTTCCCCACTCACTCATACCAGTATTTAAATGGGCTTAAGTTTCTTCCATCTTTGAAACTCCATCAGTCACACATTCACCTCTTTCCACTATCATATTTTTCCCTGCATCATCAAACTTCAAAGGGTTCTCCAAATTGTCTTCACTTTAAAAGCCTTCACAACTCAACTTCACTAAAACTTTGAGTCAACAAACAGTTGCTAAATCCTATAGGTTCCATGTGTTTGGGGTCCCCCCCCCCACTCCTTTTAATGAACATTTAAAATTAACCACTTTGTTCCCCTTTGAAAAAGCAGCCTTTTCTTAAACTTCTCTGATATCATACTCCCCCAGTCTTCCTTCTGTTTTTCTGGACATTCCTTAGTCTTCTTTGGGGTCCTTCCTCTGGTTATCTCCAGCCCATTTTCTTTCCTGAGCTTGTGCCAGGTGAGTGATTTCAGGCACTCTGAGGGCTTCAGATGAACATCTGTATTATAATGATTGCTTTTTTGTAGTTCCAACCTAGATCTCTCTTCTGAGTTTCCAGATACACATCTAGCTGGCATCTCCTCTTGGGTGTTCAAAATGACACCTGAAATTAGCGTGTCCTGATCTTGTTATGGGAGAAACTTGGTTCTTGCTGACGCAATGAACAATTACAGATCAGCAAGTCTATTAGTATGTAAGGAGGGTTTATTAGTGATATACTCTCATAGAAAAGAACAGGCCTTGCCAAGGTGGGCGGTGAAAGGCATAGGTTCAGGGAAGGGCAAGGTAAGGGCATCAGGTGCTTTGTTCTGAGGTCTTCAATAGTTGGCAGGATGGGGGTGAAGAAGTTACATATTGATTGGTGCCAGCTTCCCCCAGGGGGATGTAACTATCCAAATGTAGGTATGTATGCAGGTCTGTTAGCTGGAACCCTTATCTTGCTCTAGACCACATCTGTTCACCTTGTTGTAAAACAGATATGTGACAGGAGGCAGTTAAAGTTGAGGCAGTTTCGCAAAGTTATTTATTGGCTCTTTTTGTAAGCATGAGGAACGCCCTAGTAAAACAGACAGGGACCAGAGATAGTCAATTAACCAAAGTGGTTTTATGGGCTTCTTTGAGTGCTGTGGACCCTCTCCCACCTTCTAGGCCTTGGGATGAATACAGTTTCAAAAGCTTTCTTTCCTAGATAGTGTAAATGATACCTACAGAATTTCGAGGGCTCCCCTCCTCTAGGGCTAGCATGCTGTTTCTTGCGATGTTGGGACACCTGGCAATATTATTGGACAAGGCTCAGGGATACTGAGTTAGTGAGTGAGACATGTCTCCCTTCTCCTCCCTGGCCTGGTTTGCTATCCTATCTAATGATCTGAATGTATCTTCTTACCCAGAATTCATCTTACCTCCCTTATCAAATAATGCTATCACCTACCTAGTTTCACAAATCAGGAACCTGAATGTCATTCTTAAATCTCATTCCCTCATCCTCTGCAACCAAAAATCAGAAAGTTTTTCTAGTTTCACCATCTATTTCTCAAATTTAAGTACTTTCTACCATACCTACTTATACCATTTTAGTATAGGCCAGTGTAATTTCCAATCTAGATTATTATACCAACCTATTATTATATTCCCCCAGTCAGGTCTCTACATTACCCAGTGTTCTCTTAATAAACTCAAACCTGATTCCCTCCCATCCTTAAAACCTTTTAAGGCTCCCTATTGCCTTTATCTCAAGGTAACTGTCATAGTTTACAAGTCTATTCTAGACTTGCCTTTACGTTTCCACTCCTTGTTCCCTAAGTGGCTGCCATACTTACAGTTCTCTGCATAGCCCATCCTCACCTTTGCATGTGCAGCCTCCTGTGCTGACAATCTCTTCCACCTCCCTCTACCACAAACTTCACCCCATTTAACCTGGCTAATTTCTGCTTATCCTTAAGACCTTGTTTGAACATCATTTTGCTTCTGGAAATGTCTCTTGGCAACGCTTCTCCTCAAAACCAGTTAGGTAGCAGTCTTATGTGCCCTGATAATGTTCTGCCTCCATCAGTGCACGTTAATACTGTTTACTTGTTTGTAACCCTCAGTGGCCAGGAGTCTACCCAAGAGCAGGCATATCTTTTTCACTGATTAATCATCTGGTACACAGGTGTGCAATAAATGTTCGTGTGAATAATTGTTTTAATCATGCCTTTTTCTTTCTTTGTTTTCTGATGTTTTGATAACTTGGAAGCGCGCCTTTCAACTGGCAACCTATGTCCTCCAACCACCTTCTTTACCAAACTCTTACAAACCAGACGATATTCGTCGGCCCTAACTCCAGGGCCAGGTACCAAATAACTCCGGACAGCCCCTACGTCCCAAAATCTGCTGAAATTATTCAAACTCGCCAGTCACAAATAAACTTCCTTACTCTGCCTCTCCCATTCTTTCCTACAAAAACCACAAGAAGTCTCTTATCCATGCTTTCCCCTCGCTCCCTCTGCCTCCTGACCCACCCAGGTGCTTCCCCGTGTGGACTTAAAATGATTGCGAATGCTACGTTTAGAATTGGTTTAGTAAGAAATCTTTTGTGCATGTGGACAAGAACTAGAAAGAAAAATGGGAGGGGCGGATACAGGTTTTTTCCAGATTTCTGTAATAACATCAATTAGCACAGTTTAATGCCCACCGTGAACACAAAATCCAAGGCGAAAATTGGGTCGGAGGAGCAGAGATAACAACTTGGTCCTCAACAGCATCTCTGAACTCAGACGGACGCCACGTGAATGAGTAGAACTGGTTTAGCTCGACCTCACTTCTTTAGAAGCCGGAACCCCTGCGAATCGTTTGAACGTTTTCCAGTCGGCAGTGAAAGCGCAGTTCCGGCCCTCCCGGAAGTTGTCGTACAGTAGTTTCCGGGGCAGTGTGAGGTATAGGCGCTCTCGGAATGGGTCGCAGCCGCAGCCGCTCCCCGCGGAGGGGTGAGTCCAGAAGCATTTCGAAGGGTCTGGGGCTCGGTTGGAGGTTTCTCTTTTTTTAAGTGACTAGGACAGCAGAGACAAATCCCCTACTCCTGAGAAAAGCGGTGTATGTGTAGGGGGTGGGGCGATGTGGATGAGGGAACGAACACCGGTTTTTAGAGCCATGTTTTTCCCCTAATAAATTGGCGTTTCACTGACTATTTGTCAACCTCCTATAGTAACTCTTGTTATTCTTGTGACTGGCTAACTGAGAATCGGACCACGGTCCCCTCATTTAATTTCGGGTCAAATGTGTGCAAGTCATCCAACCTTTCTGAGACCGAATTCCCGTAATTAGACACTGGAGGTCCTATTACCTAGCTTTAAAAACTGATGGGAGAATTAATGTCACATTCCATAACACTCAGCATGTGGTTAGGCCTGGATCTTAAATGCTCCATGTTAGGCTCCTCTAGTTTATTGTAATAGGGAAGTTGATACTTAGAATTTTGCGTCCAAGGAGTGCACGTCAAAGGTCTGCTGGTCCCCACGGCCATAAATGAAGCACAGCGATGTAAAGCACACAGGACTTGGAGCAGAAGATCTGACTTAGAGCTCGGCTCTGCCCCCTGTCACTTTTTACGACCTTAAACTGGTCAAGACCTGATGTTCTTAAAAGTTAAATGGAGCTACGATCCACATATGGCTATTGAGCCCTTAAAGTGTGCTCAGTCAGAACTACGAAGTGCTGTGTAACTGTAGCACCAGATTACCTTAACTTCCTACGAAAAAGAAAGTAAAAAATCTCAAAAGTGTTTATATTGATTATATGTTTATAATAGTTTGGAAATTTTTATATATTTTCAAATAACATTCTGTTAAAATTAAGTTCACCTGTTTTTTACTTTTTTAATGTGGCTACTAGAAATGGCTCGCATTGTATTTGTATTGGACAGCGCAACGGTAAGTATTTGAGGTAATTTCGGCTCTGCAATGTTGTGTTTGTATTAGAGCGTAGGCGGTCCCGGTCCACCTCTCGGGAGAGAGAACGCAGGCGCCGAGAAAGGTCGCGGTCCCGGGAAAGAGACAGGAGGCGGAGCCGCTCTCGATCCCCGCACAGAAGACGTTCCAGATAAGTGCAAAAAATAACCAGGGGTTTTGCCACGAATCGCAGAAAAACTAATTAACTTTGTTTTTTATCACTTATAAGGCAATTTAAGTGTCATGAAATGAGGTAATCCTACCTCATTCTAACCCTAACATTCCCATTGGTAAATGGGTTAATAAGTCTCTACTCATAGAGTTGCCTTCAGGAGTAAAGAGAAATGATAAGGGAAAAGCACTTAACATGGTCCTTGGCAAGGCAAAGAAATAAGGGTTTGTTTTGTTTTATATTAACTTTTTTGTGATAGTGGTTTATTCACGTATATAACCAAGAATGTGAGATCTTGGAAGAACCTTAAAATGAACTCTTGATTCTTAGGAAGCATCAATTGCTATTTAAGTCACCTTTTTGTGTGTGTATGTGGAATTGTTAGAAACTGTGTAGTTACATTTTTCTGCCTTACAGAAAAATTATTGGCCCTAACTAACAATCTGGGCCTAGGCAGAACCTTCTAACTTCCTTTTCTGTAAGAGCTGGACCCATGGTTCTCTGGAGCTTGGCTTTTCAGTCTTTACCTTTCAGGCACTTGTTTGCATCTGTGCTGATTGACACAAGTGGCCAGGTATGTCTCTGTTTCTGACATCTTTACTTATTAAAATATTAGGTCCCCAAGGCGACATAGATCCACATCTCCTTCCCCTTCTCGACTGAAAGAAAGAAGAGATGAAGAAAAGAAAGAAGCAAAAGAAACAAAGAGCAAAGAACGTCAGATTACTGGTAATGTTATTAGATAAATAACTGTAAGGAGACTGCAGGTTTGTTTGGGTAACTTCAGTCATTTTGATAAAATTATAAAAGTGTAATTTTTTAACATTGAAATATATTAAGTTTTTTATAGTATTCATTGCATATGGTTTTGAGATTTTGTTTTAATTGTACTTTAGTGAATTCCTGGTTATCTATGGTACTCCTGATATAGGAAGGAAGGTTAAAAATGTGAGCATATTCTATTTTGAAAGTACCCTCCAAACAAGTGTCATGTCTGATATTAAAGGTGGTCCTGCCTGAAGGCTTCAAGTGTGTTCTTTTAAGCAGTCTCTTCTTTGGAAGGTAGAGAGCACATTCCTTCCCTGCACCGTAAGCTACATTGGGCCCAAATTGAAGAGGGATTTTTTTTTGTTAGACTCAGGTATTTAACTAATTGTTTTATATGTTCTCTGCTGGGAAGATGGAATGCCTATTAATCTATTGCCACCTTTCCTTTTATATATATAAACTGATAAGAGTTTTAAAAATTATAACTTACTTTTGCAGAGGAAGACTTGGAGGGCAAAACAGAGGAAGAAATAGAAATGATGAAGTTAATGGGATTTGCTTCCTTTGACTCCACAAAAGTAAGCAAAATACGCAGCCCATTGAGCATTCTGAGTTGAATTAATTCATTATGACTGTTCCATTTTTCCATATTCTTTTACTATTGCTAGTGTAATTTCTTCCATTGATACAAGTTTATCCAGTTAAAAGGCAATAACTATCTGTATGAAGGGCTTTGATGAAAGCACAGAGAAGGAAGCAGTGAGGTGCTGTTAGAATCCAGGGAGTGTTTGCCTGGGATGATGTTGAGTTAGATGTTAAAAGGCCAGTACAAAAAAGAGGAGGAAGGTCATTGAAGTAGAAGGAAGAGCTCATGAAAATGCCACGTAGGCATAAAGGAGCATAGTGTATTGTGGGAAGTTCAAATTCAGTGACTGGTAAAAGGATGTTGATGGGCTAGTGGCTACAGTGAGGCTGGAAATAGAGGTAGGAAGCAAATCACAGAGGGCTTTTGCTACTCTTAGCCATGTTAAGGAATTTAGAATTGATTCTTTACGTGTTGAAGAGAGAATGCAGTGATTTTTAAGAAAAGGAGAGAGAGGATTGTATGTGTGTTTTAGAAAGATGACCTAGGGCAGCACTGGAGCACAGATGGGAGGCAGGTTAGACTGGGGTCAGGGAGAACTGCTGAGTTGTGCAAGTGAAAGATGATAAAGGCCTGAATTGACAGGAGGGGCTGGAATGTTGAAACCATTCAGGAGCCTGAGTTAGTGGTGGTAGGAGTGGGAGCGAGCAGTCAGTGATGGCTCTGAGGTGATAGGCTAAAAGACTGGGTGGTAGGGTTAACCAAGAAAGGGCTATGGGAAAGGGAAGGGTTATGAAACAAAAGAGGGGAATTCAGCTGCCAGATAAAGATGACATTGGGTAGCTGCACACATATCTCATAGATCAGAAGGTGGTGGAGTGGAGATTGAATGCTGTCTAGCCTTCATCATAACACTGGAAAGGATAGGGAAATGGGGGAGGAAAAAGGGAGGGATTGTGGAAAGACAGATAAAGTCAATTATAGGGAAGAAGAGAGGAGAGAGTAGAGAGAGAGACAGGGAGATAAGGGTAAAGAGAGAAATAGGGGAGAGGGGTGTTGGGGAGGGGAAATGAAAGGGGAGGAGGAAGGTGGGAGCTAGTAAGGATACACAGAGGGAGAGTGTGTGTGGAGGGAGAATATACTTTTAAAACTTCCCTTTTGTAGAATTTTAAGTCTGTTTAGTTTTATAAATGGAAATTGAGATTTTAGAGAAAAATAATCCACTTGTTCTTATTTTGTATTTCATTGAGTTGTGATCAGAGTGGTGTAATTTCACATGCTGTAGGAGTTTCTAACCAATGTGATTGTGTAGGGCGCACATGTTTTTTTAAAATGACAGTATAACCCTGGCTGGTGTGGCTCAGTTGATTGAGCACCCGCTTGCTAACCAAAAGGTCACTGGTTCAGTTCCCGCCAGGGCACATGCCTGGCTTGCAGGCCAGGTCCCCAGTTGGGTGCCTGCAAGAGACAACCCATCTGTGTTTCTCTCACATATTGGTATTTCTTTTCCTCTCTTTCTCCCTCCCTACTTACCTGGCAGGGGAGATACCATGATCATGAAAGTAGTTTTCCCAGGGTGAGCCTTATCCTTTGCATTCCAGATGTACTGACCCCTATGATTTCCCCAAAGGTGGGAAACTGACTGCGTACTTTGTGGGAGTAGGGGACTGCGTTTGCATTCTCCCCTGGCAAAAAAAAAAAAGGACAATGTATAACTAAGGCATGACTGTTTTGAAGTGAGAAAATTAAGACTCAGCTCTTATTCTCACAAATGGTTATGTAAACCCCATTTTGGAGTTTAATGCAGTTTATCTATCAGCTTTTTTCCCTTGAATATTTGTTTTCCAAAGAATATTTTATAAGTGAAACAATTTACTAATATATATGTAGGATGCATAATAATATCTCTGAAGTAAAGCAACGATAATTTTATTCTTTTTAGAAGACTACAGAGGGAACTTATCAGAATTATTTTCTTTTTTGAGGAGTGGGGTTACAGTTGCCCAGTGTTTGAAATTCCTGAGAATCATATGTAAAGATAAAATCTCACTTTGTTTTAAAATGTAGTCTATACTGTAGATGTTTATTTATAAAGGAAAAATTAGGTGTAAATTTATAGATCCCATAAAAATTATGGAGTACTATCAGAACAAATGATATCAGTTGTTTTTTAATGACATCTACAAGGATGCTAATTTAGTTTATATGCCATTGGTTTCATATGATTATCACTTATAAGCTCACTTGTGTTTTTCAGTAATGTGTACCTTGTTATATTTCATCACTGATCTATAATGGGACCTCTTCATATACCAGTATAGTCATTTATTTTCTCACATTTTAGAAAAATTTAAAGTTAGGTTATATTTATTAATGGATCATTTTTTATCACATTATGTAAATGAAAATAGGGCTATTATTCAAATCCACAAATAGTTTTCAAAAATTATTACGACTTTAGCGATTGAACTTAGTAAAAATGTAAGCATTATTTACTTTTTTTCCCAACTCATGCCTACCTTCTGTTCTTTGAGGTCAAATCATACACATCTAATAATTTACCCAGTATTCTTCTCTTCCCCAAAATGTAGTGAAAACAGGAATAGAAAATTAAGACCAAATATATTTATTTTAGCCCCACTTCAAATATGTACCTCATTTGTACAGGCCTTTAGGCCAGTGAATAGGAGTCCTTTTTTTACCCTCACACAGGTGTCTAATAAGTATGCTACACAGATAGGGTACATTCCCATGAGTAACAATAGGGGAAGGAGGAGGTTGAGAGAAGGTGGGGGTGTGTGTGTATGAAAGAGAGAGAAAGAGAAAGTGAGCAACCAGTGATACTCACAAACTTAGCAGTCGTTTTCTGAGCACCTGCAAGTTCAATGGCCTAGGATATGAGAATGCAAAGGTAACTCACAGTCATATCCCTCCATCAAGAAACTGTCAATCTCTTAGGAGAAATAACATCAAGTGTATACTGTACCTCATGATGATGCAGGTTGGAACATGGAGGGTATGGTGAGGAAAACCCAGTTAACATTTGCTGGGACCTAGAGAAGAGGGCCATTCCTGCCAGCTGGGTCATTTGAATTGCACCTTGAACTATGTATAAGAACTGGACAGTTGGAAGATTGGATGGGAGTTGAGCTTGTGATTCAGGCATGGTAAACAGCAGGTGGTGAGTTAGTGAGTTAACTTGGCTGAATCAAAAGACTCATAAAAGAATTAATGAAAAAGAGGGTAGCTACCACGTGAGAAAAGGCCAAGGTACAAGTGACACTCAGCAGTATCATCTGTTTTTCTGTATTCTAATTTTTGATTTAAAAATCCAAATTGCAAGGTCTGTGTGATAAATGGGACTTAGGTAAATGGTGACTGATCTAGCCGTGATTTGAGTTTTTCTAGATAAGCTGTCCTTAACTTGTAAGTGGTTTCAAAGAATTCTTTGACCAAAAAAGGTTAGGATTTGCTACTCTATTTCCCTGCATGCTTTGCATGTAATACATAAACCACGAATGTTTGTTGTTTGAATATTGTATTATTTGCTTACATGTGACTCTAAAAAGGTGCACAGAGTTGTAATACTTGCGAGCTCATGGGATAGCATCAGGATCTGAAAATTCTTTCTCTCATTGGACTGCCTCATTCTTAGATGTATCTTGCCATTTAAGTGTGTCTGTGGGGTCCAGCTCTTTTCATCAAGGCATTTTATGTATCCTTCTGTTTTTATATTTGTTTATTGCTTTTCTCCAGGGAAAAAAGGTGGATGGCTCTGTAAATGCCTATGCCATAAACGTGTCTCAGAAGAGGAAGTACAGGTATGCATAACCCCCATTATTCAGTTTGAACTGATGATATAAATTATGTGCTTGGGAAAGAATTTATTATGGGATAATTGTGTTTGTAGGAAGGGTAGCAGTTTTCCAAACAGTTCTTGTTTTAATTGTCCTTGCCTATAGGCTGGTGTATTAATTTCCAATTTGTCTGTGAACTAATAATTATTATAGAGAAGAGTAGTTGGCTTAATGTTTTAGGACTATATAGATAGTTATTTAAAATACCATTTTTAAAAAGGCTTTAGGCTTTAATTTCATTATAATTATAGATTTAAAATGTACCCCTCCTGAATTACTTACCTAGATTGATTATGTAAGGATTTCAATGTAAATACAGTCCTTTGTTAAGCATAGAGATTTTATTAATACCACAGGACAAACCAACTCATAGTTGAAATCCGAATGAATTCCTGATGAACGGAAGAGTCAAGACAGCTTCAAACATTACCTCCACCTTTATTGCTGATAAAAGAATAACATTCCAGTTAATTTAGATATGAATAATGGGCTTTGAAAATGCTGAGTTAAGGAACCAGAATAATCATCAATATTCCTTTGTAAAGTTACCTTCAAATAAAGTTTTAGGGAAAGAGCGGGATGTCAGGCCTCCAAGTGGGAACCTCTGTGTTGTGTGCAACAAAAGAGCAGTTTCAAAATGGGTAGTGTTGAGAAGGGCAAGATTTTTGTCCAGAAGTGTGCCCAGTGCCATACTGTGGAAAAGGGAAGCAAGCACAAGACTAGGCCAAGTCTCCATGGTCTGTTTGGGCAAAAGACAGGTCAGGCCCCTGGATATTCTTACACAGATGCCAACAAGAACAAGGGCATGACCTGGGGAGAGGCTGCACGGATGGAGTATTTGGAGAATCCCATCTAGTATATTCCTGGAACAAAACCAATCCCCGCTGGCGTTAAGAAGAGTACAGAAAGGGAAGACTTGATAGCTTATTTCAAAAAAAGCTACTAATGAGTAGTAGCTGGCCACTGCCTTATTTATTACAAATGTCTCATGACTTTTTTTTAATGTGGACCATATTTACATTGATCTCATACAGTAGAATTCAGTTCATTTCTGGCTCATAGAACATTTATTTTGGGAAGTTCTGATTTAAATAAGATGGGCTTGTGGTTAAATGAATATGATCAGCTTTTTGAATTTTGATGGTAATTTTGGTTCATCAAGTGCTATCACTATTTTTCCCTTCTAAAAAGATGATTAGACTTGACTTTATGTTCAGCTTTCACAGAGATGGTGAATGCCATCCCAGAATCTGTAGGAGACTGGTTTTATATTTAGATTTATGTAGCTGGTTATATGAACATGTGTAAATACTGAGGAAATCCCTTCACTGTTTCTTAAAACAAGACTCGCTTGTGTTTCAAATTGTGTTCATTAGCCTGTTAAAAGGCAAGAGCTGTAAGATAAGCTGGCAGTGTCCATTTTATCTTTTAGGTCCTAACTATGCCAATTTAATTAAAATTTCCTGTATCTAAACCGTTGCCTTTTACTTAAAGGCATTTTAGTGTGGTTCATGTAACATATCAAATAAAGAATATTTAATGCTTCTCACATTTTATAAATGATCTACAAGGTCAGATACTTTTAAGATTCAGTGTGGCAAGATGGAGTAGCAAACTTTGTGAATCCTTTAAGTCAGACTAAGTTATAATTCAGAATTGTCTTGAAGAGCTATTCAAAACAACTATAGAATTACTGTATATGTGTGTGATTGGTAATGGTACTTTTGCCAACTCAGTAGAAGGATTAAAGTGGAGGAGAATAGATCATCAACACAAAAGTGTGATTATGTGATCATATGGTTTAAGATAATTAAAATCCAGATTAAAAAATAAAGTTTTATAGAGAAAACCAGTATCGTATGCAATCAGAATTACTTGATGGGTACCTATTTTAGAGATCTCTTTCCTTAAACTAGGTGTTTAGTGTTATGTGAAATAAATAAAGATTTTCAATTCATTTTTTTAAAAGTCTGTGGGATATTCCAAAATAGTTTTGAAAGTACATTTCCATACTTATTTTTGGATTTTATGGAAATCTAAAATGCTTTGGCTTATTTTGAAAGTAAAGTAGTCTTTTCTTAATGTACATTAAGTAATCTTGAATACTTCTTACCCTACACTTGGCCATCTTAAAGGTAATTTATAGGTTTAATCTCTGAAGCATGTCATTATTTTTTGTAAAGGGAGTCCAGAATTTTTTTAAATAAACATTGAATTTCTTTCTACTTGTCGTAGGCAGTACATGAATCGAAAAGGTGGATTCAACAGACCTTTGGATTTCATTGCATGAGAATTGAAATGTTGAAGAATGATTTTTTTCCCCTCATTGTGATCAGAAGAGTGGATTTTATATTTTATATTTCATATGCATCAAAATAGGATCACAGTCCTTCCTCCTTGTAAAGTAAGAAAATTTTATTTATGATGTGTGCCGTTCACTTATCCTGCCTCAGAAGAAGAAAGGTTAAATAATTACTTTTTTTTCTTTTAGGAAATATCATTTGGGGCAATCATTAACCCCATTTTTTTTTTTTCCCTTATTCCTGTGGAAGCTGTATATGTCTTCTTTTTGGATGCTCATTAGGACTTTCTTAAACACATAAAAGTAATTTGGATGTAAGTTACTCAAATAAAACAATATTTGTATCCCTTTGTATTTGATAACTATTTAATTACCACATAAAAGTATCTTCCTAGAAATTTTGTTTTTTTCATACATAAATTTAGATATCATGATTCTTAGTTTAAAAATTAGAAAAATGAAAACATATAACTGGATTTTTTTATCTTCTGAGGGTTTTTTCCTTCAATACTATTTATTACTTTCTCCCCCATTTAAAAAAAATACATGCTTATTTAAAAGAATGGGAGAATGCAAACAGTAAAAGAAAAGCCAAAATCACTCATAATCTATCCCCAGAAGTAATGTTACTATTTCGGTGTATGTCTTTCCAGGTGCCAGTGGGTGTATATTTCTCACTTGCATCCATGAGATCAGTATGTATATGCTGTTCTCGTTTGCTAATCCTTTTTCCCCCATGTGTTGTGAATATTTTTTAAAGATTTTATTTATTTACTTTTAGAGAGATGGGAAGGGAGGAAGAAAGAGAGGGAGAGAAACATCAATGTGCGAGAAATACTGTATTTTGCCTTATATAATGCGTTCCTGCGTATAATGTACATCCATGCTTTAGGCCCAAACTTTCAGGGAAAAAAATCTTTTAATTTTTTAATTCAATTTTGTATTCATTTATATTTAGATACTTGTTTTTTGTATCATAAAGGAATTATAGCATTTATTTTTTAACATTATGGTACAAGAAATTTTATGTAACAATTACAAAACACAAGAACAGATACAAAGTATTTCAGGTACTACCCATGCATAATGCACATTCTTATTTTTCCCTCAAAAATTTGGGCAAAAAAATGCACATTGTAAATGGCAAAATACTGTACATCAATCTCTTGCCTCTCGCACACCCCCAACTGGGGACCTGGCCCACAACCCAGGCATTGCCCTAACCAGGAATTGATCCAGCGACCTTTCAGTTCGCAGGCCAGGCTCAATCTACTGAGCCACACCAGCCAAAGCAATTTTTTAATATTCTCACATATTCTCTGGAAACTTAGCTTTTAGTAGGTACTTGGTTGTAGCATAATTTATCATTAACTAATTCTTTACTTTGATGAACATTGGCTTCCCTCCCATGATTTACTGTGAGTAGTATCTGTGTTACAGGGTTAGTTCTTATATGTGAGATAAAGGTGGGGGAGTGTATGTGTGCATGTGCATGTTTTAAGGCTCTTGATATATGGCTAGAAAGGTAAGACTCAAATCTCACTAGCAAACCATGAGCATTCCCACTTGTGCACTAATATTGGGTGTAATAATTTTTTTAATGTTTCCAATCCGATGAGTAAAATACTATTTGTTTTTTGGGTTTTTTTTTAAAAGATTTTCTTTATTTTTAGAAAAAGGGGAAGGGAGGGAGAAAGAGAAGGAGAGAACAATCAATGTGTGGTTGCCTCTCGTGTGCCCCCCACTGGGGACCTGAGCCACAACCCAGGCATGTGCACTGACTGGGAATTGAACCGGCGACCCTTTGGTTCACAGACCGGCGCTCAATCCACTGAGCCACAGCATCCAGGGCTTGGTGTTTGGTTTCAATTTATTTAATTTTTAGGGAGGAAGAACATTTTAAAAGCATGTTAGTCATTTATATTTCTTTTGTGAAATGTTAATTCCAGATCTTGGATATATTTGCATTTTTACAAGCTTTTTCTTTTGGAAGGAAGCTCTTTTTATATTGAAGATAATAATCATTACCCATTCTGTTTCACATTTCACTGATACTTGACACTCTGTGGTTAGGTTTTAAATTTGAGTTTGTTCTTTTTCTCTTTTTTTTTTAAGTAACTAATACAAACACAATTCAGACAGCATAAAAGGTATACATGTTGATCTAATTGTGTATCCTTTCCGAAATATTCCTCAAGTACACAAAGATATATCCTATTTTTTATTCACGTGTAAGCAAACTTTACACACTATTTTGCACCTAACCTTTTTTCACTTGTACATCTTAAGATTGTTTCTTACTAGTACATGTAATATTGCCACTTTTTTCTTTTTATCACCAAGTAGCATTTATTCCAGAAATTTAGAGAGAAATAATGCAATTCATGGTGTCAATGTGGCTTCTCCTGTATATCCTGGGTTATAGGACTCTGTAAGCTGGTCTTCAGGTGGTTCTTAATGATGGTTCTGTGGTTTAGCTGTAATTTTGATGTGGTCCTGGGACGAGGTGAGCATAGCGTTTACCTACTCCACCGTCTTGCCAGGAAGTTCTGCCTCTTTTTTTTTTAAAGGGCAGCAATTATAGTCCGTCGTAGGATAGACTATAATTTGTTTTAACTAATGCCCCATTGAAGGAAATTCCAGTTGTTTCTAATCTTACTATTTTTAAAAAAGTTCTATAATCACTATTTTTATAAGTACATGATTTTGTAAGTGTCTTTGGCTGGATTTTTAAATCCTTCATTGCATTTGAAACTTGACCATCTATTATAGTTCTTCAAAAGTTCTGGCAAGTTACTCCCCAATAAGAATAGTTTGACTGCATTGTGTAACAGTATGCAGAGCACCTTAGTTCATTTAATCCCTGTGAAATATAGCAGGTATTATTATCTCCATTTCCCAGTGGAAAAAGCTGAGGCTTTTCAGACCATAAAGGCAGAAATTTATACCAATAATGACACCTTCGGTGCCCAGATATTTGAATGTGCGACATCAGTTGCACAGCTTGTAGTACCCATTGCACAAGTGTCACTCCCTCAGACAGTTGGGTTATTTTGCTTGGACTTTTTGCCAACTGAGCTAAATAGAATCCCATACCCCAACTCTCCAAAATCTTGTGTATCTGTAGATTGTCCATGACCAGGATTGTTTCTAACCACATATGTGCACACCCAAGGAGATCAGACCCAATCGTTTTAGTAGGAAAGCTAAAAATTCTGGAATAAAATAATATATCCCAAACTGAATTACAGGTCTTTGGATTTACTAACCTTAGTGTGGTGTTAGTAAAGGTTTGACCTGAGATTTTCAAGGCATCATATTTTGTAAAGAAGTAATCTGAGAATATCTGGTAGTGCAATAGTTTTGTATTCCAACTAACACCAAAAGAAATGGAGAAGGAGGAAGTCTGAAAACTGAGGTAAGACACCTCCGATCTTGAAAAGCCTTGGTTTGAAGGATCTTTCATCCATCAGATTGTCTGATTCTGTAGGAGTAACCAAGGTGGAAGGAACATTCTTGTTTTCTTCGAACAGGCCACTGCCTCTCAGCAGGCATAAATTATGCCAAATCTTCTATTTCTAAGTATCTAATTGTTAAGAGTGTTCCGGGGTTCCATCCCTGGACTTTCCAGTCTCTGCCCATCTATTTGCGTGACTACAAACATCTGTCTTGGTCCTCAAATTTTTACTTCCAGCCTGACCATTTTACTGAATTCCATGCCTAGGTGTGCACCTAGATTATTAGACATCTCAAATTTCTCTCATTTCCATGCCCAGCCTTCTTTGAGGCTTCCTCATCTCAGTAAGTGGCTGATTCCTCCACTGACTTCCTTATTCAGACCAAATCCTTAGGGTCATCCTTAACTCCTTTCCCCAATGTAAATTTTTTTGACTCTATTTTGGATCCACTTTTTTTTTTTTGTTCACATCTATTGAGGTATAATTGACATAAAATTGTAAAATATTTCGAGTATACATTGTAGTGATTTGATAGGTTGAAACTGTTCCCCACCTATACTAACTGAAGCCAGCCCCCTGCCAGGACTGCGGTAGCCTCCTAATAGCTCTCCTCTTACTGCCTCAGTTCATTGCAGCGGAGGTGAACTTTTTAAAATGTGCATCAGATCACATTGCTCCTGCCTCTGGTATTTTTCTGTCACTTAGAATAAAGTCCAGTCCTTACTGGGGGCCAGAAGCCTGAACAGTCTGGACCCTGGCATCCCACAGCCTCGCCCCATGGCTACTGCACTCCGTCAGACGGCTGGCCTCCTTGCTGTTCCTTGAGGATGGGTATGCATCTGCCTTGAGACTTCCTCCTCCTGAAATGTTCCACCCCCACAAACAGCCCTCCTCCAGTTTTGCATGGTAGCTTCTCCATGTTGTTCAGGTCTCTGCTCAAAATAAGGTCGTTCTTGAACACCTTATCCAAAATATCAAACTCCCCTTCCCTCCCTTAATCCTGTTCTACTCTTTATGTTTAAACAATTGAGATAACATGAATCCTTTTAAAATATACCATTTCAGTGGTATATTTTAAAGGAATACTTTAGAATATTCATAGTTATGCATCCATCACCACTAATTCTAAAACATTTCATCACCCCAAAAAGAGATTGTACCCATTAGCAGCCATTCCTCATCCCTCCCTACCACAGAAACCACTAATGTACTTTGTCTGTAAAGATGTGTTGAACCTGGACGTTTTTATATAAGTGGATATTTCATGTAAAGGGAATTATACAATAATTTAGTCTTTAGTGTCTTGCTTGTTTCATTTAGCATAATGTTTTGAAGGTTCATCCATGCTGTAACATGTATCAGTACTTTATTACTTTTTGTTGCTGAGTAATATTTCTATTACATACCATATTTTTATTTATAATTTATCAGTTGATGGGCATTTGGGTTGTTTCACATTTTGGCTATTAAAAATAATACTGTTGTGATCATTCATATACAAGTTTTTGTTTAATTCCCTTGGGTATATAACTAGGAGTGGAATTGCAGTCAGTCATACAATAATTCTGTGTTTAACTTTCTGAGGCACTGTCAAGCTGGAGCAGCTGCACTCTTTCACATCCCCACCAGGAATATATGGGGGTTCCAGTTTTTCCACATGTTCTGCAAAGTTTCCTTTTCCTTATAGCTTATTACTGCCTGACACTCTGTGTACTCAGTTATTATTTTCTGGTTCTTCCACTAAACAAGAAGAAATGGAGCTTCTGTCTTGTTTGCTGCTGTAACCCCAGCACCACACAGTGCCTGGCACAGAGTAAAGTGGTCAATAATTATCTGTTGAATTTGTGAATATAGTTCAGTGACTTCTTCTCACTTGGCAAGTTTCCTTGATTTTTATGTTAACCTTTAGGTACCAAAGTAATAAAGAGACACATTTTCGAATTTAAAAGCATCGCAAAGCTAAATCCCATCTGAACGGTGCTCCTCAATCCTGGTCTTATTGCCCCTTCTTTGTACTCTATTTTTCCAGATGTTTGTCTATGCACATATGTAAGTAACAGAGTTAGAATTGGAAATGAGGAAAATACACTGTTTGGGATTTTTTTTAAGTACTAGTAATATGCTGTAGGGCTCATTTTACAACTAATTATTCAATACTGCCTTGGAGATCTTTCCATGCCTGAATAAGGAGACCTTTTATGTACCTCTACCTTTTTTTTTTTTTTTCAGCTGCTACATAGTGTTTTGTATAATATATAATAGGCTTTCCAGAAGGTATTCAGCCATAGAACATGAAAAATAGAGACATTTATTGAAGAAGATACAACATACAAGAAACCATTGTGCACAGGACAGTGATGCTTCAGTCTCCTTCACAGTAGCACCTTGGGACCTCTCACAGTTATCCAAATCACCATCATCACCTTGTCGTATTTTCCTGAATCTCATTGATGGTCTGAAATCTCTTCCCTTACAAAATTGAACAGTCTGCACCCTGGAGCTCCTTACAAAGGTGATTTTAGTTTTGGGAAAAGACACAAGTCACAGGGCACCAAATCTGGGCTGTAGGGGTGCTGAGTCACCTAGGTGATTTGACGTTTAGCCAAAAAACTGCACGAGATGTGATGCATGAGCAGGTATGTTGTCATAATGAAGCTCTCAATTACCAGTTGCCCATAGCTGCAGCCTTCTAAATCATCCTCATAGTTTCTGAGAAGGAATGTTCAAGCTTAACACAAAATTTGATGCAGATTTCTTGCTGTACTCGCTCAGTCATTTTGAATGCAACGACCACAGAGTACACAGGCTCACTCAACAGCATCTACCACCCCCACTGACTAGTACAGTGAGGTCATCATTGTTCACACACATGCATTCCAGTCTACTCTCCTTGGCTGTCCGGTTACATCGACGTCGTGCAAAACATTCTCATATTAATGATGGCTGGACTTTTTACAGACAGACCTTTTTTCCACTGTTTCTTTAGCCATTGTTCTGTTTTTAAAATGACTATAGAATAACTAATTTTTGCAAAGCAGTGTTCTTAGAGGTTTTTAAAAATTAATATATTAGATATCATGATATTGGAGTATCCAAAGTAGCCACAAAAAAAGGAGAATGATGTTATTGAAGCAGGAAATTCCAGTCCAGATTTTTAAACTTGGAAGAAAAAAAAATTAGTTCCTCAAAAATTCATTCTAAAAATTTTATTTTATGTCATAGTGGTTTGGAAGTATCAAACTCTGTTACAAATAAGATGTTTTGCTTCCAGTTTTGGAATGTTTCAGACATTTAAGGACTATAATACACCAGTTTTCTTTTCCCTGCCACTCTGAGGTACTTACTGACTGAAGAATTAGCTGTCAGAACTCCTATTGCATTTAATAAACCTGCTCCTTACTCAGCATTTACATACTACCCTATGCCCAACTGGAGTATGTAAGCCTCTCAAAGGCAAGAGACTGAGTCTTAGCTTTCTACAAGATACAGTAAAGATAATCTGATGGGTTATATAGGTATGTCTTCATGTTTCCATTTTCAACCTTTTTACTTCCTAATTCTATTATTTGATCATTTTTTAAAAGATTTCATTTATTTATTTTTAGAGAAAGGGGAAGGGAGGGAGAAAGGGAGAGAAATATCGACATGCAAGATAAACGTCAATTAGATAACTCGCACACCCCTGGGGCCCTGACGGGGACTCCAGCAAGTGCCCTTTCAGTTTGTAGGACAAGGCCCAATCCACTGAACCACAACAGTCAGGGCTTAGGTGATCTTAATGCCTGCTCGAAGATATATATGGTAAATTATTGTCATCCCATATATATGCCATGACACAAAACGATTTAAAATTCTGGTCATAAAATTTAGATTCAAACATTCTGGAATTACTAATTTTTATTTTGGGTGTTGTGCCCATCGGTCAATGCTTATGTAATGCCTTTGAGGTTCTAGATGTTGGGGGTTAGCACTTCTACTTTGTTTTAGGATTTTCAGTTTTTTTCAAAACTTGTATCTTCAGATTAGATTTAACTAGTCATTGTGTGCATTTGTGTAAAATATTTTGTAGAAAAACAAAACCTTTGTTTTACACTTACTGCTTGATTCCAGTAGATGGCACCAAATACCCTTTAAAGTTCTTGATGATGCAAATTCCTAGTTGCTATTGTTCCACCACCACCACCAGGGAACAGTAACGGTCCATTCTTTCATCTAATTCTCTGATTGTTACATAATTTTGTATTTTTTTGGGTAGAGTGTAAGACCTGTTAGTATTTAAATTATTAAGTTGCTTTTTTTACTCAGATTTCAACATTTTTCTCCTTTTTAAAATTTTTTATAAGTGATTTTCAACTGGTGATTCTAGGGGAAGGATTGTGATTCTGAAATGGGACTAAGTGAAAAGAGTTGAGGGTAAGAGAAAAAGAGTAACGAAATTCTGAATGATCATAATAAAAGTGAAGGGAAAATATAACAGTATACAATATCAAAAATTAAGGTAATAAAAGTGTTTTTACTATTATCAGTTTTGGTACTTTAGTAAAATTGTATTTTCAAATGTGTTTTACAAGTAACTTGAAATTTAAAAAACAGTCCTTAAAAATAGTCTTTAAAATTGTTATATTCCCATTCTTATTTCCAATTTTTTGTGTTTTGAAAACCTTACCTTGAGTATGTGTATTTAACAAGTGTTTTTATAAAGAATGAGCTTTTAGATCCAATTAACCATTAAAGCCAGAAAGTGTTTCCTCTATGGTGGGCATAGTTTACTACGTTTATGTTATTTTAATAGATCTGTCAAACATAAAAAAGAATCCTTTTAAATTTTCCCATCATAATTACCTTAAATGCTTTCTTTCTTTTTCCCCATTGTTTGAGTGTCAGTGTTTTGTGACTTGGTCTAGAAATTTATTTCTTAATTGTATTGTCTTTAGAACAAACTACCAATAGGAGAATTGGTATCATGGGCTATGGGTGAAACAGATTAAGATTTAGTTCCCCTCTGTTTGGATGACTAGGATAGTCATTTGCAAAATGTAGATAATTAACCTACCTGGGGGTTGAGGATTAGAGATTAATATGTATAAACTACATTACCTGACACAAAGTAACCTATTTGTCATATATCGGCAACAATTAAAAACTTTCTAAACGCTGTATTCAGGACTCTCAACCAAGTTTTATTTCTACTTTTTAAGATGTCAGTGTATTAACAGTCCTTGGGTCTCGAAATAACTTTTCATCTCAAATCTTGACAGGTTTATGAAACAATCCTTAATAAACTTTTTAGTTCTACACATTAATATTGGTACCACCCCTTCACACAAACAACGCCATTTATAGCCTTCTTGAGAAGTGAGTTTTGTTTGTTTTTTAACATTTTCATCTAGAATCAGAAGAAAGGACCCTAAAAGAGATTTAGGTCAAGGTATCTCGGTATTCAATGTCATTCTGTAGGTACAGGAAGTTTTTGAGCTTTTAAACGCCACTCGTGTGAGGGGATAATTAATGCCAGCACTTTGGGTGGTGGAGAGTGCCTTTGGAGAGGAGCTCTGTACTGAATACAGCTGCCGTATTCGAGCGCTTTCTGAGAGAAGAGAAAACGCTGGGAGGTCAGCATTTAACTAAAAGCCAGGCTTTTTCATTCAAACCCCACAGCTACGTGGCGCCCGCCGGAGGCTGCCAGCATCGCAATCCATTCAGAGGGATTCGCTGCGGGGCACTCAGCCGCCCGGATCCCTGGAAGCCTTGGGACCTCCGGGGCCGCGACCTCCAGACCCAGGGCTCCGACCCCGAACCCATGCGGGGCAATTTGCCTAGGGGAGGCGCGGTTCCAGCCTCACACTCAAGGGACGTCCGGCAGGTCCCCGGAACTTTTCCCCTGGGACAGGTCCTGGCAACAGGTCCTAGGGAAGGTCAGGAGGGGCCGGGTGGAGCCAAGGCCCGCGACAGCGGGTGAATCAGCGCCGCCCGACGCCCTGGTCGCCCTCCCAGCCTACGCCGGATCTGGGGAGAAGTGGGGGCTGCTGACCACCAGCCACTCAGGGATCGCCCGGCTTGGGGAAGGGTGACATCACCGTAGCTGGGAGGTTTCGGAAGGCTTCGCCAATGGGAGACA